GTGTGAGCCTATGGACTGCAGCTCGCCAGGCTTTCCTATAACTTCACTGTCTCCTGGAATTTGCTCAAATTTATGCCTGAATTGGGTGGTTCAGCCTCTGTTGCCCCTTTCTCCTCCTGCCTTCAGTCTTTCCCAGCATCAGGGTCTTTTCCAATGAATTGGCTGTTCACATCAGGTGGCCAAAGTATTGGAGCTTCAGCTTCAACATTAGTACTTCCAATGAATATTCAGGGTTGATTTTCTTTAGGATTGACTGGTTTGATCTCCTTGTAGTCCAAAGGACTTTATATATAGAGTCTTCCCTGGCACCACAATTCAAAAGCGTCTGTTCTTCTGCACTCAGCCTTCTTTATGGTTTAACTCTCACATCCCTACATGACTCACTTTACTATTAAAAAAAAACCCAACACAATGACTGGAATGTGTTTGGTGCACAGCTAATATTATTCTCTTCCTCAGCAAAAGAATAATGTTCAGAACGAGCGATAGTGATGCACTTTGACCTGGTTCAGTTGCTGTTCTTTATTCATGTTGTTGTACAGCAGAAGCTGACACAACATCATGAAGCAGTTATATTCCAATTGAAAAAAAACTTTCATTGAGGTGTTTTCTAGTATCTGGCTGTCTTCTGTAGTTATTGATCAGTTACTTTGTCAGGAATGGCAATGCTGTCCACAGAGATACTTATAGCCACTTTGGTCTCTAGTGTTATTGTAGAATCTTTCTTTGAGTCTTCAGTAAGTTCTGCATTAACATGCAATGGTATAGATTTTTACAGATGTTATATATAAGCTGGTAGGAATCTTAGGTTCCAGTGTCCCCGTTTATTTTTGGATTTTTTTTTTTCTCATGATGTAAAAGTTACGAAATTATTTAGGAATAACCTCCATAACAGGCTTCCCAGGTGGCACAGTGGTAAAGAATCTGCCTGTAATGCGAGAGATGTGGGTTTGATTCCTGGGTTGGGAAGATACCCTCGAGGAGGAAATGGCAGCCTGCTCCAGTATTCATGCCTGGACAATTCCATGGACAGAGGAGCCTGGTGGGGTCCAGTCTGTAGGGTTGCAGAGAATGGGACATGCTTGAGCGACTGTGCGTGCGCGCGTGCACACACACACAGGCACACACACACAAGCTCCACAGCATAGATGGAGCAGGGATCACTAAATGCTGTTGAATTTAGAGAAATTGTGTGTAGAAAAAATGTTTAAGTTTTAATTTGTAGTTGTATATTCTATGAAATGTTTGTCTTCTTTGTAATGTCCTCCTGCAATTCTCTGAAAATTGTTGTTTTTTAGCCATATTCTTATTTTTCATACCATGAGAACATTTCAAATTTTTCATATGGACCAGAGTCCTCAGTTCCAGCTGACTTAATTCCTCTTGAATTCAAATTTTTAATATGAGATTGTGAGCAGGGAACAAAACCAGCAACCTATGAGATGTACCCTTGCTTTTTGTCAAGTGTTAAAAATTAAGTGGTGAGCTGGTGTGCTAAATATAATTTAAGACTTGTAGTCAAAGACCTGTCTTAGACAGCATAGAGAAATTTTGATTATGTTGTGTACCTTAAAGGATGTTAAATGATACTGTTACCTTTATCTTGAGTGAATAGTGGCTACTTGTGACAAACTCAGAAAATGGATTTAGCTGGGTAAACTATGCGGTGTTGCAGAGACCTGCTCCTCTACGGAGTCACGCTCCTGCTTCCTTAATGCAGCACTTGTAGCAGATGTCGCTGGAAGGCAGCCTGCTTTCTGTTTGTTGAACAGTTTTACTTCTGACTTTTTTTTCTCCTTAGCAAAGGAAAAGAAACATTTATAGCTTTGAGGGCTTGTTTATTACAAGTAAATGGATGGACCAATACCTCTTTGGGTCTTGTGTTAAAAAAAATGACTTTTGTTTTCTGCCTCCAGTTCATCTGAATTGAAGGTTGGTTGCATGTAAAACATTGGGCATTTATTTAAATGCCCCCGGTGGTGCTTAGGAGTCTATTTTTCATGCAGGGGCTGGATAACTAAAAATGTAGCCTTTTCTAGTCTATGCCAGCCTTAATTTTCATGAAATATATCCCATTTGAATAGGGACTAGGGCTAAGAAAAGGTGTGTGAACATCTGTACTTTTTATACAGTTTGGTTAACTGTATCATCCTCTTATTTTCTAAATTTAGTTTTTATTTAAAGAGTTTGGCTGATTCCCCTCTCCGCCATTCTTTCGTTTTTAATCTCTTCTGTGTCTACAATTGTACATTATAGTTACACACCTTAGTGCATACCTTTGAATTGTTTTGATTCTGATCCTAGCAGATCACTGTAGTAAGTGTTTCAGTTACATAGTAACTTGCTATAATATTTAAGTATTAAGTTACACACTTTAGTGCATACCTTTGACTTCCTTTGATTCTAACCCTTGACTTCCTTTGATTCTAACCCTCAGTAATTGCTAGAGGTACTGAGAGTGATTTTATTGTTTTGTAATTGTTGTTTTGTAATCTTTATTTTGACTTCTTTAAACCTTATTCACTTGCTTGCTGTATTCTCCTGACAATACGTTTATTGCCTACTAAAGTATTATTTCAGTTTAGTTAGTCGCTCAGTCATGTCCGACTTTGCGACCCCTGGACTACAGCGCACCAGGCTTTCCTGACATCTTTAATTACTGTGTTTTGATAGCCACCCTAAATTCTTATATTCTTTCTCATTGGTGGCAAAAAAAAAATTCACTGGCGTAGGAAATATTTAGGGTTTCCCAGGTGGTAGGACATGACTGAACAACCAAACAACAACGAAGCAAAATATTTAACTTTCCTTTTTTCCCTTATTTTTTATTGTGGTAAAATGCATATAACATAAAATTTACTATTTTTAGCATCCAGTTCAGTGTCATTAAGTACTTTCCTGTTCTTTTTTGTTTGTTTGTTTCATGGCTGCACGATATGTGGGACTCTAGTCTCCCCTCCCCTGGGATTGTACCCTTGCCCTCCACAGTGAAAGTGTGGAGACCCAAACTGGACCACCAGGGAATTCCTTTTTGTTTTTTGTTTGTGGACTGTTCTTGTTAATACATAGGATTGTTGTAGTTCAGTTTTGAAATTGGATAATTAAATCCTTCCTGTGTGACTCTTCCCTTTCCTTCACAGTTTTGGAAATGTGTTTGGATATTTTAAGACATTTTTTATCTGGAAATAATTTCAAGCTTAAAGAATAGTTGCAAAAATAGTGCCAGGAAACTACATATATCCTTTAACAAAATTTACCAGTTGTTACTGTTTTATCTGTTTTTTCCTCTTTCAACATATTTGTACATACTCCTCCCCCCCCAACTGTTTGAGAGTAAGTCATCATTAGCCTTCAATTAGGGCTTTCCTGGTGACTCAGATGGTAAAAAATCTGCCTGCTATGCAGGAGACCCAGGATCAGTCCCTGGGTGGGGAAGATCCCCTGGAGAAAGGAATCGCTACCTCTCCAGTATTCTTGCCTGGAGAACTCCATGGACAGAAGAGCTTGATGGGCTACAGTCCATGGGGTCTCAAAGAGTTGGACACAACTGAGTGACTAACACACACAGCCTTGAATAAATATGAATTTGCTAAGGAGATAGTTTTGTATAATGGTAATCAACTTCGGGGAATTTTGCATTGATACTGTACTCTAACATCTATATGCCAATTTTGTCAATTGATCCAAGTCCAGTTTTTTTCTGCTTTTAGTATAGGACCATGTATTACTTTTAATTGTTATGTTTCTTTAGTTTCTTGTAATCTGGATCAATTCTTCTGCCCCCACCCCCTTTTTTGGTGTTTCATGACATTTTAATATACTACAGACCCAGGAATCCTCACCCGCCTCCCCTCATTTTGGGTTTGGTCTCTTTTCTCATGATTAGATACAAATTATGCTATTTTGGTTGGAATATTACCTTAATGATGTCTTCCTCAGGATATAAATGTAGAGGCATATGATATTCATCTGCCACTCATTGGTGATGATAATCACCAGTGACTGATCCCTCAGACAAGGTGATGTCATTTCTTCACAGTGTAGTTATGTTTTTCCCCTTCTGGTTTACAAATAATCTTTAAGACCATACAGATATTCTTCTTTTCACCAGAGTTTCCTCCATATTAATGTAGCATCCATTGAATGGATGAAAATAATTCTTGTTGAATTCTTTTTTTTCTATGTGTTTTCAGTTTCAAGTACTGGTGTGTTACACGTACCCATTAACTAAACATGTCAACCTGATTTGGTAGTCATGAGCAGTGGATTTTGTCAGCTGGGTTTCACTGAGGTTTTTGTTTGCTTAGGTCAGTGGTCCCTAGCATTTTTGGCACCAGGGAAGATTTTTCCATGGATTGGGGATGGTTTCAGGATAATTCAAGTGCCTTACATTTATTGCACACTTCATTTCTAATCTAATGCTGCCGCTGATCTGACAGGAGGTTCTGGTTCATGGCTTGGAGGTTGGGGACTTACACAGTTTCACTGTCATTGTTTCTTCGATCTGAGTAGATCTGATTTTTAATCATTTCTGGCAGCAGTTTGTTGAAAACTGCAAATTGATAATAAGGCAAATAATACATAAATTCATTGCTGTTCTGAAGCAATGAAAACAGTTTCCCCATTTTTTTTCTTTATTGATGTATAGTTGACTCACAATATTATATTAGTTTTAGGTGTACAGCATAGTAATTTGATATTTTTATACACGTCATGCAAAGTTACTAAACTGTTACTGACAATATTCCCTGTGCTGAGCATTACATTCCTGTGACTTACTTATTTTATAACAGATAGCTTGTACCTCTTAACTAGAATTAGCTGAGTTGAGAGTATTGCTCAAATATTCTATTACAAAGCCATACATTTCATTAGATAAGTTGCTTTCTCATTAGTAAGTGTGCTGTTAACTACATGCTTAGTTTGTTGACTGCTTGTGATTTTAATGCTGTTAGACACCAAGATTCGCTTGTTGATTTGTCTGATTTTCTTCCCCTTAGGGCAAGAGGATTATGACAGATTACGACCGCTGAGTTATCCACAAACAGATGTATTTCTAGTCTGCTTTTCAGTGGTCTCTCCATCCTCATTCGAAAATGTGAAAGAAAAGGTGAGTTAGTTATAAATTCTCTCCCTGAAAAAAAGGTTGTCATAAAACTTCTGTTGACTTGTAAATAGCTTTGGAGGCTTGTGGATTAATGCAGGTGTGTTTTTTCTTTTTTTAAAATATCTTTTCTCTAGTGGGTGCCTGAGATAACTCACCACTGTCCAAAGACTCCTTTCTTGCTTGTTGGGACCCAAATTGATCTCAGAGATGACCCCTCTACCATTGAGAAACTTGCCAAGAATAAGCAGAAGCCTATCACTCCAGAGACTGCTGAAAAACTGGCCCGTGACCTGAAGGCTGTCAAGTATGTTGAGTGCTCCGCACTCACACAGGTGAGGACTGTGTGGAGCGGCTTGAGTAGCGTTTAGGACACAGGTTATTTCTGACAGTGGTCTGCAGCGCTCAAGAAAGCTGCCCAGGAATACTGTTAGAAGTCTTGTTAGAGGTCTCCGTTTTTATGAAGAAAATTATTTGTCTCTAAATAAAGCTCTTGTGTTGGTGAGCGCCCATGTCTTATGTATCATTTGTAGTGGTCAGGGATTTTTTTTTTTTTTTTTAAATTAATGGTAAGGTCCAGATTAGCACAAATTTACAAGAGTATGTGAATGATTCCCCTCTTCCCCCTGCCCCAACTTAAAATTTCATCTAAGTAAATCTCATCTTTTGTCAGTACTGACAGTTGATGCTATAGTCTTATGGGGTGATGCATCTGAAATTGGGAATTGGTCGCAGTCATTGAGACTTTCAGAGAAAGCTACCTTGTGTAATCATTGAGATTTTCAGAGAAAGCTACCTTGGCCATTTCTCAAGTTTGTGTTTATATAGTGTCTCTATTCCTAGATTTTGGGAGGCATTCCATCCTTATACTGTTCACTTTTTCTGAACGGTATAGTTGGAACTCTTTCTATAGTTTGACAGGAAACTTCAGATTCTGAAGACAGCAAGCAGTGTTAAAAGTACTTTGAGTGAGAGTTTCAACCGACTTGGGTAGTCTCATCTTGTCTACCTTCATGGTGTCACCAACCTTTTCTCCCATTTGAGAGTTGTTCTGTTGCGGGGTGGAAGGAAGGATTATGGAAATAATTAGCCCATAACTTTTTCATTCTGTCTTTTGACGTTTGAACAGTGAACAGACATGCCTAATTAAAATAAGGCAGGACTGAAGGGTAGAGATTTCTTAAGAGTTATGTGAAATTCACTTATTTCTCACACTGCTTTTTCAGGTAGGTTTTTTTTTAAATTAAGTTAAAAAAACACTGTCAGATTCTTGATTATACATACACTAAAGTAAATGGCATATATAGTTAAATGTTATACATGTACTAGGTATTTAGTATGTAGGGTGTAGACATAATTTAGTAATCTCCAGTTTAGCCCTGGGCTGAATATGTAAAGACAAAAATTTTGTTTGAAGCTGGATATTTCACAGGATAGCTTTGAGGCCTAGTTTTATTGTTAAAAGCCCAGTTTTTCTTGGCAGTTCAGTTCTGTTGTATTGATATTGCAGATATTTAAAAGTTGAGATGATTTTACATTTTCATACATGTACAGCTGAGGTTTTAAAAAATGCCTAATTGTACAGCTGACTGAGATTTTAAAAAATGCCTAATGTTTCTGTGTTTTGCTAGCATTCCCAGAAAAATGTTGTGTGTGTCCTGAAGAAGGATGTGTGTGGAACATTTGAATCAGATAACTTGCATATCCCCATTCTCTGAATATGGGTTGCTTTTGGGGGAAATGGAGACAAGTAGGCCATGTGGACCCAATTTTAGGTCACTAGTGAAGCTTATTTTAGAGAATTGGATGCTTCCATATAAGGTGTTCTACCTTATGAATAGGTTTATTTAGGAAGTCCCTTTTCAGAGAACAGAAATTTGAAAAAATCTTAGCAAATATGTTTTTCTTATCAGATTTTGAAGTTTGGAGAAATCAAAAGAGAAGACAGAAAATGGGGTCCCTGGTACAGTTTGAAAGCTGCAAGTTTTTAAGACTCCAGAATTTGTTGGTTCCTCTAAAACTGAACTCTTTATATAATCAGATAGTGTGATTAAAGCAAAGATTAGGTTTGTTTTGTAGGGGATTAGTTGATCTTTGTCGATAAGCAGGAACATATTTGCTTATTAAGGTATGCCCTAGTTTCTAATTGCTTTCCTCCTCTTTTTTCCCCCTTATAAAATTTATTTCTCCTTCATAGCTTCCCTCCTTTCTTTTATGTATGACAACCAGAATTTGCTTATAGATGTGTAGAAAGAATTTCAGAGGAACCTTGACTTGTTTAGCATTTCTAGTTTGTGAAAGGCACAGAAGGAAGAGAACTTTTTAAACCTTTGTTTCTTTTCAAGCGCTTGTTGTTATTTCTCATTTATTTTGTACCTAATGGACTGTGGGGTGCCAATCCTCTAAGATACTGTGTGGGGGTGGTGAGCAAAATGGAGGCGTCTGGGGCTCGCACATTTGCTACCAGAGCTGTGCTCTGGGGCTTTGGGGGGCATGTTTACTTGGGATACAACTGACCTAAAGGACATGTGAAACTTCTTTGGGTGGTAAATCTGTGGCTTCAGATTTAGGTTGAGTTTAGGTTGAGTCTATAGACCTGGTACCAGTACTACTGAGTCATACTGTCATGCTGGAGTTCTGGCTGAGGTGTAAGTGTATTTCTGCATCTTAATTCTTACAGAGCTGAGAGTATTCTTTGTTTTCACTCCATGCTTTATGCTCTGATACCCCACGCTGACATTAAAAGCATTGATCTGCTTGCTAAAACTCATTCTAGGACCCCATTCTTTGTTTTCCTATTGGGTGGTGGTTACTTGCTCTAATAACATTACTGAATAACTGAAGTGTATGCTGTTTCTAGAGTCTTTTGTTTAAACTTCTCCAAGTTGGTAGTGTTGAACAATTAACACTTTTTCTAAATGCCTGAACCTGTTGATCTGGGAAACTTGTTTAATCTGAAATTTTGATTAATACCATCTAGATACGTCATTGAATCTAGAAACATGTAGCATGCTTGTTAGTCTGCTATTTGTGTCCTTCAGTTATTCAGGGGATGAATTCACAGAAGCCTGAAATTGTAATAGGTTTAGTTCCAAAATGTGTGTGCCATTCTTATCATTAGAAGTACTTGGGGGTTCTACAAGTACTAATCCTAATTATTTAATGCATGTATCTTGTGTTTACATATCCATTTTATTCCTCTGGCACTCATTTCATTAATATGTTGTAATGTTAGATTTCAAAGTGTGATTGTTCTAGAAATCAACATATGGCATTGTCACAAAAGTTGTTTTCTTGCTCAGTTAATCTTTTTTGAGGTAAGATGTTTGTTCAGTTATTTACTCTCTTGATAATGGACTTAAGATCTAGCTTTCTGGCAGTTACTTTTCTAAAGGTGCATTGCTTCTGTGAATTCAACCCATTTAATCCGGACTGCTGTTGTATCTGCTAGTCTTTCTAATCCTCTAACCTGGCTGCTGTTCTCTCTCCTCCCCTCTGTCTTGTAGAGAGGTCTGAAGAATGTGTTTGATGAGGCTATCCTAGCTGCCCTCGAGCCTCCGGAAACTCAACCCAAAAGGAAGTGCTGTATATTCTAAACTGTTTTCTCCTTCCCCTCTTTGCTGCTGCTTCCTGTCCCACTACTGTAGAAAGATCGTTTAAAAACAAAGGAATAAAACCATCCTGTTTGAAAGCCTCTGCGTCTTTTTACTCACCACCTTAGAGCAACCTCTGTATTAGTTTTTGATCAAGAATGCAATATCTTATAGAATATTTTTTGTGATCAGTAGTCAAGTTGGACTTGTTTAACTTTCTGCTGCTTGAGTTGCCTGATGCTCAGAGCTTTTTGGTTTGGATTACTATTGCAAAAGGGAACTTGGTTTGGCATTAAGAATGTCCTCTTGGAGAAAATTAAGAGTTTTTAACACTTCTAGATCTTAGTTCTTGATGGAGAAAATAACACAAACATCATTTTACTCTTGTGATCCATTGTTAATTGTAATTGCATGACAAAATTTATGGGAAAAGGGTGACCTGCTAGTAGAGTGTAATGGGGAAGGGAGGATTCTTTTCTGGTTTTCCTTTGTGCAGTGAAACTTTGTGTTGCTATTGCTTTGGCTGTCTGTGCTGTAGTGGAGTGTTTGTCAGTCTGGGTGGGAAAGATATTGATGTACCTGCTACTGCTTTATGAGATCATTTGTTATACTCTCTTTTAAGAATAGCATCCATTTTAACAGTTGACTGAAGGTTTGTTAATGTTGAGATGTAAAGCTGCCACCTTTATATTTTCCTGCTTCTGATTTTATTGTTGTGAGGGGAAACATACAATTGTGGTTACCTTCAAATTTTGAAATTAAAAATATACAGTTGTTTGTATAAATGCCTGATGAAGCTTTTTATTCCTGTTGCACTGACTGGCTCTAGTTTCACATGTATATAAGGTACCCACATTTCTGCTTCCTTGAATCCCCCTGGCTCTTAATTGGTGGGAAAAAGGGAGTTCAGAGTGAATACCTTTGATGCAGCCACTGTAATCGTTCTCTCCATCTTTGCCTGCGCCTTCCATGTATTAAGGATGCCACTGCCCAGTGCCCGACCTCTCACTCCTGTTCCATGTTCAGCTGTTTCATTTGAATGCAGAGCTGCTTAGTTGTTTTTATGGAAAATATTCCAGCAGCACATTGTACAGAACTCATATTGAATGAGCAAATGACACGTGTGCTTGTTTGCTTCTTGTGACATACATTGGTCTGCAAAAAGCTTTCTCAAAGAACCACTGTCTCACTCATGAATATCTGCTCCTCTGCTCCTGAATTGGTGGATCCTTCCAGTGCCCTGCCTGGACAGAACTTGGTGAAGTGAGATAATTGTGTTGAGATTCAGGATTTTTCAATGACTGTTCTTTGCCAACTCTTGGGGGTTTGCGTGTTTTAAATTTGACCTTCAATTTTATTATACTGAATATCAGACTGCAAATTTTTTTCTTTCTACCCCTTTTCAGAAAGGCCTAAAGAATGTATTTGATGAAGCAATATTGGCTGCCCTGGAGCCTCCAGAACCGAAGAAGAGCCGCAGGTGTGTGCTGCTATGAACGTCTCTCCAGAGCCCTTTCTGCACAGCTGGTGTCGGCATCATACTAAAAGCAATGTTTAAATCAAACTAAAGATTTGACAGCCCTTAGGGGAGGAGGACGGATTGATTCCACATTCCACTTCCTAGATCTAGTTTAGAGAACATGTTCCCCACCTGGTGCTCTTAGGAAGGAGTATAGTAAACGCCTCATTTAATAATATACTCCTTTTTGAAAGTTGCCTTTTCTCTCCACCCTTGAGTAGGTCCAGTATTTGATGAAACTCATGAAAGTGGGTGGAACCTGTCTTGCCCCTCCTCTTTTCTAGGATGCACTATATATGTGACTGTGACTCTCAAGGAAATTTGTTTGCCATTTGCTGATTTTTTTTTTTTGAAGTTAATTTCTAACTTCTTTCACTGATAAATGAAGAAAAGTATTGCACCTTTTGAAATACACCAAATGGATTGAGTACATAATTAAAAAATTTTTTTTTTCCCTGTCAGTCATTGTCTTAATATGCTTAGCATAGACATGCAGCTTAATAGTGTATGATATGGTGTTCCTAGAACACAGCTGAAGACCTGGTGTATAGAGGAAATCCAAGGGGTGGTGCTAGAAGACAGATGCCTATGGGATGATTCGCATCCTCTTTCAAGTCGTGAGGATGGAGACCTGCTTCATTAAGAAGCTGGGGGTGGGGTGGGGGTGGGGAGAACCTTTAACAACATGGGGACCAGTCAGGGGAATCCCCTTATTTCTGTTTTGCATGAGGAACCCTAGAGCAGCCAGGTGAGGCTCTCTAGTTCAGCAAAAATCCTAGGGAGAGTCTTATGAAGACTCTTCATAAGTGTTAATAGGGATTTTATCAGCTTATTTTGGTTGCAGTTTTCAAGTTTTAAAATGTTAGTTTATCTTCCCCACCTTCCCTAAATCCTAATTCTTGTAGATTTCATTAGTGTTGAACCAATGCTTTCTCATGTCTCAATTCTTTGTATATGCATTCTTTTCAGATGTATTAAACAAACAAACAAAAAAACCCTTCACAAGTCAGCCTGGGGGTTGTTATTTTCCCTCCGCCTCTTAATCTTTAGACATTTAGGAGTGGGAACTTGACTCTCATTGACATCAACTTCTAACAGATTTCAGGATAAAAATACAGAACATAAAGAGTTAATGTACTTTGTTTTCTGTAATTCAGTTTGAGATATTTTTTCCTCTCCTCATATTCAGGTTTCTGCCTTTTCCCCTAAGTTTGACAGGTAGCCTACAAACTCCTTTTCTTTAATATCAAGTGGGTTCCATAGAGAAGTGCTCTGACAGCTCACTGCTCATGTTGTTGAAATGACAGCATACTTCCAATCCAAGGATTAGTGGGAAAGCAGCCATTTTTTCTCCCCAAGTTTTCTGTATCAGTGGTTTTCAAACTTTGCTGCTTTGTAGAGTGCAGCTTGAGCAGGGAATTATTTAGAAGCTTTCCAGGTACTTCCATTACACAGCCAAGTTTGAGAATCACTGCTCCTAAGGTGTTAACCACAAACTGCTTCTACCAAATTATAGATTCTGTGCCTTGTATCTGAATACAGGACACATTTTCTGTAGGTGCCAAGAATGATTCATTTATTTTTAAGAGTATTATACTGATATGTATGAGAATCTTAGAAACTAAGGATTGTTAATTTAGTTAGTAAGGCTGATACAGTGTGTAGCCTCATTTTCATAGTTTTCTATGTGGAGTCATGTTTGACTTGATTCTATTCTGTGCTAGAACTTAGCTGGGCTGGTTGGGAGGAGATTAGGAAGAAACAAATCTAGGCTTTACTGTTTTAACCAATGTGTCTTACTTCTTCCGTCTTGGCCCTACCTGGGAGAGACACATGGATCATATTATGAGACTCTGGGGAGCCCAAACTCCGTATCCCTCGTTCTTGGTATAGTGGCATACGGGTCCATCCTGATTCTCACTGGATCGCTGGTCTAGAGCAGTGTTTGACATGTAAGAGATAGCTCTGAAAATAGTCATTGGATGGGTACATGGTGTCAAGAATGAGTAAGTGAAATAGAGCAGGTTACATGGTGGTATTGTTGCATTTTCCACACATCAGAAGAACAATGGCGTTTGAAGCTAACACTGATTTCTAGTTAAGCGTTTTCAATTTGATTTCCACGTAACAGAAGCAAATGGATGAAACTGACATTGTTTTCTGTTTAAATACTGTTTTTCTATTGACTTAACAAACTTGTCTGTTATCTTTGGCTTAGTGATAACTGCCCAGCGAGTGTGATAATAGAGATTGGAAAAGGGCTATTTAAAAAAGTCCTTAGCAGACTTAGCTTATGGCAAAATTTACAACATTTAGTCTAATACAACAATGAATAAATACATCACTATATTTCTATAATACTGATGTTTTACTGAAGGTCTTAGAAATAGGTTCTGTAGTTTGTTAAAGTTGGCATCCTTTGAGCTGGATTTTCTTTTTGGCTGCACCACGTGGCTTGCAGGATCTTATTTCCTGACCAGGGATCAAACCCAGGCCCCCAGCAGTGAAAGCACCTAGTTTTGACCACTGGACCCCCAGGGAATTCCCTTTGAGTTGGATTTTATGACAATAGAAGGACTATATTAATATATTTTAAGGGAATAGAAGGTTGATCGTGGAATCAAAGGAATGATTGCAATATTTCCTTTATTCTAAAATGTTACTTTTCCTTTTTTTGAGCCAGGGCTTATTTTCATAGTATTGAATATAATCAGAATATCTCTTAAAATTTTGTGTTATACATTTAGTGTAATGGTGCTTTTTTCCTGGAAAGCTGTCCTTAGATCATTGGTGTCTTCTAATTATCTTCACAATATCTTCACAGAATGGATAAAATATTACTTTTTCTTCCTTGTTAGATTTGGACTATTCTCTTGTTTTCCTCCTCCCATTTTAATGTTGTTAGTGGTTATTAGAAGAGTTGCTAAGGAACTGGTTTATAGGGACCCTGCTTCTTGAGGTTTGAAACTTAGTCTCCTCTGGGTACAGCTAACATACATTGAAAATTTGGATGGTTGTTCACCAACAAGTAGCAACTCCCATTATTTTTCAGGAAAGGCTGAGCTCTTCATGGTTAGGGTATCTGAATAATATGTGAGGGGAATGTCTTTAATCACATTCCTGACTTAGCTCTCACTGTTTTCTGTAAGACTTACCCAGTTTGCCCCAACTTCAGAGCATGGTGATTTAACTTAGAAAGCTCAACAGAAGACCTCACCTTAATATTTTCTTCTTTCCAGGACTGTTAAAATACTTTGTTTATACATTACTTTTATTTTTTTCTGAAGAGCCCCATCCCCATTAAAAAACACCATTTCATTAGTATTCCTACAATAATGGTGCATTACAAACCACCCTAACTCTCAGCTGGCTTTATGCAACAGCATTTATTTTTCTAGATTGTGGGTCAGTTGGATTTTGCCTCCAGGCTTCAGATTGGGCCCAGGCTGGCTTCATGTTTCTTGTTCTGGAGCCTTCCAGAGAGGACATCAGGTGGTGAGCCAGAGTGGGTACAGGAGCAAGCACATTGAAAGTCCCTCACATTCCGTTGTCCAGAGGGTTCCACATAGCCACACTCAAAGCCTGCCACTCAGACGTTCATTTCCCTCAGACTTAGTAATTCAAAATTATGGTTTTCTTTCTTTCCTTCTTAATAAGGCTCTTGAGGATATTAGCAGAGAATAAAACAGATGTGAGTTCCTGACTTCTGCTTGGATTTTTCTCTCCTTTACATTTTGATACCTGCCTTTCTTTTGAATAACCATGTGAGAGAGTAAAACTTGGCTCTGCATGTGCATGCCCAAGACACACATTCATTCGTCAGAGTGCTTGTTCTGTACTAGGCTCTGGAGCCGTTGGAGAATGACAGCTCTAACTCTGTGCGCGGGCAGCTTCACTCTTCTGGCCCCTTTGTATATAAAATAACTCTGTACTTAATTATCATTGAGGTTTCAAGTGTGGTGTGGGGTGGGACCTGGGAATCAAGCTAGTTTTCAGATATTCCCAAGATAGAACTTTTGATTCATCACGTTTGGGGACCAGTGTGCACCTCAGTGGTTCTTAACTCTGACTGTGTCAATGGCACCTTTGGAGCTTATTTTAAAAAGAATAATGCCTGCAGCAATTTTATGCAATCCCTGGAAATAGGGTCTGGGCATCACAATTTTTTTTCAAATTATTCTTTGTAGGAACATCACATCTTTAAAGCTCATTTGCTATTTTAATATGCCCCAGGTTTCAGAACTGTGGCACTCGATGGTCTCTCTAAGGTTTCATTTATATCTGACGTGAGTTTAAGAGTAATTCTAGACTACAGTCTTTACAGTTTCTTTCTCCTTTGAGGAAGAGGTTCTCCATAGTTGTGGTCCCAAACTGGCCTTCATTTCTTCGTAAGCCTTAGTCGGAAAGAAGGTTTACGAAGTTCATAGTCATAGTCTTACTGGTGGACTGGCACTGAGATGGTTTAGGCAGTCGTCTCAGCAGTTAGGTTACTTAAGCAGCAGTTTGAGAAGAGGGCAGGTATTTGAGCTTAGAGTTCAGCTAAGGTTTTCTAAGTTAAAGCTAGAATGTGGAGGAAGACTGTATTTCCCTGATAACTTGAAGACAAGTGTACTGTACAGATTTCATTGAAGATGGGCATCTTTTTCACTCTTCCAGGAATATTCTAATTCACCTGCAGAGAGTACACAGGTCCAGATTCAAAAGTATAAGGTAGTGCTAGAAATGAGTATAAATTGAAGTTATTCCAACAGAGTACATTGGACTTCTAGGAGATGAAATCTTCTTAACTCATGGTCACTTGGTTCCTCTGATGCAATTCCACCCCAACCCCACACCCCACACCCACCCTGGTTATTTGTCAGACCTTTGGGTAGTGTCACTTGGCTTTATTTCCTCTTTTGTCAGTATAGTTGGGTTGATTTTTTTTTGGAGTGGTTAAATAGGTAATGGTTTCCTTTGTATTAGCCTTATTCTGATACATTAATATTTGATTGTATAGGGTCTTAGTTTCTTGGTTTGTGGTTTAGGTGTAAGTTGATATAACGCCCATGTGACCAGTCCTCTCAGAGGCAGCAGCTGGAGTGGAGTACCTCGGTGGGTTTGCAGATGTTCATTGCTTTTGAGCCATAAAGTCTGAACTGAAAATTCTTTCTTAACTCCCTGATAATGGGCCATTGGCTGTTTGGGGTATAGCCTCATGTAAGTGGGAAAACTTGTGCCAGTATCCAGCTGTCTCTCTCTCTTTTAAACAATTTGTTGAGCTATTTTTAACTCTGGACCCTCTGTTCTGTAGCCCCTGGATTTCTTGGATTGTTGAGATTAACTCCGCCTAGTGGTGAATTTAAGTTAAAACTGACAGTGACTCCAGGTGGACTCGCCTAACAACATCCTTGTATGTGGGTGGAGAAGGTGGTGAGGCAGAAAGGAATAGTGACTGAGCCAGTTCCCTGGTGGACTAGGGAAATTCCTGAATTACCTAGGAGAAGTTAGGAGTCAGAATTTGTAGCCAGTCAGAATGTAAAAATCCAAAGTGGTGTGTGCTGTAGGGAAATAATTGCCCCGAATTGTAAGACTACTAGCTGCGTGATTTTGTCAGTGAATCTGTAAATAGAAATAATGATAAATTCTACATCTCAGGTAGTGAGTGTGAGAATTAAATGATGCCATATATACTGTGTTCTGTAAACACATAAATGCAATGCAGATATTAACAACGACCAGATTTGCTTCGCAGTGGGGAGAATTTAGGTTTATGTGACGGAGTACGTACTTAGACCATTTTGACATTGCTACTGGGTGTATATTGGAGAGTTTGTGTTTGAGTAATTATAGGAGTACAGATTCACTCTTTATAGAGCTAAGGTGGTAGAGCTCCAGGTAGTTTAGAACTTTCTTTAAGAAGAATCTAAGACCCAAGCTTCTCAATTTCATAGAAATACTTCACATTCATAGGGCATGTATCCCAACAGCTGGAGATGCTTCGTCTCTGAAGTTGCTTTCCT